GAAGAGTGTTGAACATAACATGGACTGCCAGGAGAACAAACAGTTCTGTCCTAGAGAGGATAAAACCAGGCTTCTCCCTGGAGGCAAGGATTCTGAAGCTTTTTCTCACTTACTTTGGGCACATGGTCAGGAGCGACTAGTCCTTAGAGAAGGACATAATGCTTGGAAGGGTCGAGAAGCAGCACAGTAGAGGAAGACCCAATATGAGACAGATTGACTCAGTGATTAGAGAAAAGAGATTAAGTCTGTTGGAAACAAACTGTCTCAGGACAGGCCAGGTTTCAGAGCTAGTGTATGTAGGGTTACTATGAGTCACAGGTGACTTGATGGCACATAACAACAACAACAGTAGTTTTGAGGTAAGGAGTGCTATGACTCCCACATCATTTTTGTTTTTCAGAAGTTCTTTGCTTATTTGGGGTCCCTTTTCTGCCCAAATAAACTTGACAGTTGCCTTTTTGATCCCTTAGAACAATGAATTTGGCATCTGTATTAAGATTGCATTGAATATATAGATTGCTTTTGGTAGGATTGTCATTTTCCCCATATTGAGTTCTTCCTATACATGAACAGGAAACAGTACAATTTTGTTGTTGTTGTTGTTATGTGCCGTCGAGTCGCTTGTGACTCATAGTGACCCTATGTACAACAGCCCTAAACTCTGCTGTGTCCTGTGCCAATCGCACTATCTCTGACACTCCCATCCCGATTATCCCAGTCACTGAATCAATCCACCTCATAGAGGGCCTTCCTCTCCTGCGCTGTCCCTACACCCTCCCAAGCATGATGTCCTTCTCCAAAGACCAGTCTCTCCTCACAACATGTCCAAAGTATGTTAGACGGAGCCTCAGAATCCTTGCCTCCAAGGAGCCACCCAGTTTAAACCCTTTCCAGAACAAATCTGTTTGTTTTCCTAGCAGTCCATGGTATTCTCAATACTCTTCTCCAGCACCACAGTTCAAAGGCATCAATTCTCCTTCTATCCTCCTTGGTCATTGTCTGATGCATAACAAGTGATTGTGAAGACCATGGCCTGTATCAAAAGCACCTTAGTCTCCAGAGAGACACCATTATGGCTCTTCAGAACTTTGGAGAGGTTCCTAACAGAAGACTTTCCCATGGCAATGCACCTTTTAATTTCCTGGCTACTGGTGCCAAGAGTGTTGACTGTGGAGCCAAGCAAACTAAAGCTGTGTTCAATCTCTTCACATCCATCCTGATGCTGCCAATTGGTCCAGTGGTGAGAATCTTTGTCTTCTTGACATTGAGCCTCAATCCATATTGGAGGCTGCAGTCCTTGACCCTCTGCAGCAGGTGCTTCAGGTCCTCTTCAGTTTCAGTAAGCAGGGTTGTGTCATCTGCATAACGCAGATTGTTGATAAATTGTCCACAAATCTTGACCCCACATTTCTCCTCATAGAGCCCAGCCTCCCGGATAATCTGTTCTGCATATAGGTTGAAAAGGATGCAGTACAATTTGTTGTATTAAAATTATACTTTATGTTTGAGGGAAAAAAGGACCCTCTGGCTCTGTCAGTTTGCAAGCTCTCCTGAGTGTACCTCTTCCTTTTCTACCTGCACCTCCACAACATTGTGCTTCACCACAATGCATCCATGACATGTTTGTTGACCCAAGTGGCTGTAAAAATGGCCCCCAGCATGATGGAGATTGTGAAGATGGCACGGGATAGGGCAAGGTTCAGATCGATTGTTCATAGGGTTGCTATGAGTTGTAGTTGTTGCAACAGAATGTAACAACAATTACAGTTTCTGCTGAAGGCTGGCCATATAATGCCTTTCCTGGCACCAATCCAGAGAGTCTGGAGATAACTCCATTTTTACAGACGAGGGAACTCTGTTTTAATCATGGATTGAATCTGTAGAATTTGAGCTGGGAGGATAGTGTTGTTTCACTGTTACAAGCATAAGGCCTGCTTGTGCTAACTAGCTACAGGATCTTAGTTAACATACCACCATGGAGATTAGATTTCTGAATCTGTTAAATGGGAGGTAGCTGGAGATTGTGGTTATGATACAATGCAAAGGGCTTATCTCACTGTCTAGGACACTACTATGTCAGTCTAGAGACTAAGGTGTGCCTAATCCAGGCCATGGTCTTCACAACTACTTGCTACACATCAAAGGGCTGGACAGTGACTAAGGATGACAGAAAAAGAATTGATTGCTTTGAATTGTGGTGTTTGGAGAAGTCTTAAACATACCTTGGACTGCCAAGAAAACAAATTGGTCTGTCTTGGAGAGGGAGAGGATGAAACCGAGTTTCTGCTTGGAGGCTAGGATTTTGAAACTCCATCTCACATACTTTGGGCACATGGCAAGGAGAAATGCTTGTAAAGGTGGAAGGATAGTGCAGGAGAGGACTGATACAATAAACAGGGGCAATGGAGATTGGTGTGTTGGAATTAGTGAGTCTGGCTCAGAACAGGAAAGGGTTCAGAGTTGTTATACATAGGGTCGTTATGTGTAACAGGTGACTTGACATGCACATGACAATAGGAAAGGAATGAAACAACAATGAAAGGAACGGCTTCTGTTATTGATACTGGATTGTTGTTGAGCACCATCGAGCTGACTCTGACTCACAGAAATTCTATGTACAGCAGATAAAAACCCTAACCTTAACAAATGGAAGTTGTACACGAGGTGACAGGTCACAGATTGCCTGTATGGAAGGCAAAGTTTGTACCATTAAGTCAACATAACCTCCTTTAGAGCTCACAGTTGCTGGTAAAGAGTTAATTGGTATAATACTCTACAAATTATTTGCTCTTCTAAGGAATTACTAAGAAATGTCCACTTAAAATGAAGACCTAATTCTGATTTGGTGCAGTGGTTTTCAAATTATGCTGAAAAGGCACTGGAAATGCTTCAGGATTACTTCTGGGTCTTTGGGGTCCATGAGGAGCAGAGAAAACTAGCAGGCAGAGTAGAGTCCTTACCAAGATCTGGTTTTTGTAAGTCTTTTATATGTTGTGCTTGCATACATATTGTGTTTGAAGAAAAGGTCAGGTGGCTAAATGGACAAATTAATAACACTATTTGAGATTGACTGAATCCCAGATATACTACTTCCGGTGTGACCATGGCAAGTACCTGAATCTTTGTGGGACATTTTATCATCTACAAAGTTGGACTTCTGTTGGCCTTATGAGTTGTGAAGAATAAAATAACTGTAACAGCTATCACTTATGTGTGCTTACATCACATGTATCATTCATTTGACCTTGTTCTATGATGTAAGGACTACTATCATACACTTTCCCTATTGGCACAGCTAGGCATTTGGAGGAGTTAGAATTCTGAGAGCAGAAAGTCTGATTTCCTGACTATCCAACATTTTCCCCTGTTCCTGGAACAAGAATGTTCCACATTTGCCCTATTTAATGGTGTATGTCTCAGAGCAGCATTTGGCACATGATAAATCAGCATCTGATGAGAAATTCCCTCATCTTCTCCTAAGGAAAAGGCCCTGCACATCACCAGGAATATCCTGGAGATGAGAAGCACAGTTTTCTACCAGCAAGTAGAAGGGAGGAATTATCTTCCCCAACTGCAGCACTGGCAGCTCAGCTATCCTGCCCTACCCTCTGAAGTCCTGATTGGTTGTGGGGACCCAGAGAAGGTGCCATTCCTCTGTAAAAAGGAATAAAATTGTAGAGCCAGATTTTTTCCCATTTTCTGAGGAAGCAGCAGAAAGAGCACAGGAAGGACCATGTGACATAACACAACTTCAGAGTCCTCACTCCCAAAGTCATGACTCAGAAAGTTGACAGGGCACAAGGATAACCTGCATGGAAAAGGATGGGAAGCCAGACAGAGGAATGGTCTAGTGCAGAGATAAGGATCACATAAAATGTTTTACCTCAGAGTGGATGAAGATTACTGAGAGTGGGCTGGGAGTAGAGGCAAATGGAAATACTTTTTTTACAGAAAAGGGGCTCAAATAAGATTGGATTGTTTTAGGAACATAAAAGTACACTTACATACCTAGATCTGTGACCTAAGTCACACCTGCCATATATACCTGCTTGTCCTTTCATACTTCTCCTTTCAAGGGTTCCATAGCCCTATTTTCAGTCAGGGCAGATCTTGACTTTTGATTAGAGCCAAGTTTCCAGAGGCCAGTCAGCTAGTTGAACAAGGCAGGAGGATGATGGAGCAGCATCACTCCTGAGCCTCTCTCATTGCAGTTGAATAACCCAGATATTTACTTACAAGTAGATGAAGCAGGGGACAAAGGGTGAGAGAAGGTCACTACCCACAGGTTCAGGATACATGTGAACAGTATTTATTTTTCACGCATGCAACAAATACTTGAGTCTTTCTACATTTTGTGAGGTCCCACACTGGCTCTGGGGAACAAAGTATTAGAAACACTGGAACTGATCATGGTAGGGCTATGATCCAGCATAGATCACAGCACTTGCTGACATTCAATGAACAGTAATGAGCTCATGTAGGAAGGGGAGGGCAGAAGACTACAGTGGCTGAGAACAGAGGCTACTCTCACTCTATCCCATTTATTAATACCCAGATATGAGAAGCACCATAGTGCTTCATAGAAGCACCTCATTCCTAGAACTTTGTGGCAAGGACTGCAAGCCCAGGGAGGAAACCATTCTTTTTAGTGTCCAGATCCCTTAGGAAACTTACCTGCGGGGCTGGGGAGATGGTTGCTTGTCCTCTGAGAATAGCCCCCTAGCCTTTTCCTGTTAGAAGTCTCTAGGTCCCTGAGAGCATGACATACTGTCACTGAAGATCAGTCTGAACCACCTGAGCACACACATCTTGGTCTGAATGCTCAGGGTCCCGTCTTTGACCAGTTTAAAGCCTAGGATGGCAGGAAAGTGGGATTTGGGGGATGTGTGTGAAGAGCAAGGTTGTCCTGGCCTACAGTCTGCAGGAGAGCCTACCTAGCCCAAAGCACTGGTCCCACATGTGACCCAGGTCTCTCCAGGAAGCCTGCAGAATGGTTCTGCTCAGGAGGATCGCTTGCTGTCCAAAATGGCCTTCCAGTCATCTGTCCATGAGTGCAGCCTGCGTTTGGGGGGTGACAGCTGAAGGTGCTGATTGTGGCAGGCTGTGAAGAGTACATGTTCCCAGCTGGGATTTGCCTCAGCCCCTGTGGATGGGAAGCAGCACTGAGTCCAACAGCTTAATACTCCTGAGGGTGATTGCCTAGGTCAAAGCCCAACCCTGCTGCCTCCTCAGAAAGTGCTTCTGCCCTATGAACAGTTTCCCTTCTATAAAGTGTGACTATACCAGCCACAAACCTACAGGGTAGTGTGGGAATGAATGAGACATTGTATCTAATGTGAAGTTTTCATATTAGCATATGCACACATACATGCATTGCACAGACATATGCACGCAGAAAATATGCTATTACAGTTGCTGATGTGTACCATTAAGTCAGAACTAACAGCTTATTAAGTGACTTTACATGAGTTGTGAATAGCACTGAAGATTACTCATCTTTTTTCCTCAGAGTAGCTGGTGGATATGAACTGCCTGCCTTTGCCCTCTGGGCCACCAGAGCTCCATGCCGTGGCAGTAGATGCCATTATTCTCATGTGCACTACTGTTGTTTGGAGACCTATGTAGAGCTGGGAGCTGATAGCTGTTCGCTTCCAAAGCTTACTTAACTCTGGCTTTCAATTCCTCACATCTTCACTGCATGAGTGGAGTGTCACATGACTCTCAGGTAGTAGTGGCCCCAGCTCTACTCATTAAGGTTTTCATTGACACTGAAGGCCACAGCCCACCTTTAGTATGCATCAGTCTGGCTCTCTGGGGAAAGCTGTGCAGTTTGGAAGGAAGTGATCCCACCTCGTTCTGAATTTAGGGATGGATGCACTATGGACTCTACCCTCTGGATACCGGTGACTTATTTAGAGATAGGTGTGTTCCCCAAGCTAGTTCCAGGAACCATAAGGAAAGAAACAGCCTGTATCTCCTATGAGAAGACAAGGGATGAACACACTATCTTTGACTGGCATTGTGTGAATCCTTCAATTTAGCCATGCTTAAAACTATCTTATTTCTTGTCTTTTCAGTAACTGTGAAACAATTACTTCCCTCTCTCCTTTTTTGTCAGTCTAGGATTGGTTGGTTCATTTGAAAGAGGTCATCTGTAAACCAAAAGATTAACACAAACCTAACCTACCTTCAACCAGAGAAATTCCACTTGTTTTCATTTTCCATCTATTAGGTTCAGTCCAAGTTACTTTGATCATGCTGCTAATAAAACCTCCCTGGAAGCAGAATCCAGTTCTTATTTTACATGAGGAAACAAAGGCTTCAGAGGTTTAAAGTAATTCAATCTATACCACCCAGGATGTTAGCCCCAGGCTAAAACTTCCTGACTTTGAGTCTATTGCTCCTCCCAGGCTATCTTTCCAAAGACAAAAAAAATCTAATAAATATTTGGTGATAAAATGGGCCAGGTTGGAGGGGGAAAGAAGCCAAGAGAGGTCCACTTGAAAGGAGAATGTGGGGAGCAAGCTTTGTCCTATTTAAGCCTGCTGTAGGTCCCCCTTACTTACTCACTTGCTTTAAGCTACTTACCTGTTATATCTGCCCGATCATCTATGAGAAGGTCAGCAGAAATCACTGTCTTGTCCCTAGTTAGCACAACATGTTCCAGAAAGTCAGGGCCAAAGTGCTTCTCCACCCATGCATACTAGAATGTGAAAAGGAAGAGACAAGAGATGAGAAGAAAGTAGCAGCAACAGATATAAAGGTGTCCAGGCATTCTAGAGGATGAAAAGGAGTTCTAAAATAAAAGGGAGTAAAAGTGCCTAACAGAGAAGTAAACTCTGGCTAGGCACTGAACTTTGAGGAAGACGTCCTGTTTGACCAGCAGAGAAAACTAACGCTCAAAGCTGAAATGATTTTCAAACACTGTTCAACTAAAAGCAACAAAACCATGATTCCCTACTCAAACCTGGACTTGGCACACTGCCCTTCATTTCAATTCAGCACAACACTTTTTAAAACCTACTTTATAAAAAACCTTACTGTGATTTGGGTGAAGTTTTACAGAGAAAATGTGCTTTTCTTTTTTTTATTAAATTTTATTAGCTTTAATGAACATTTACAGAGATTTTGGGTTTTCATTCATTCATTGTTGCAGTGTTTTCTCCACCCTCCTCCCCAGTTCGTTCTTCTTCCCCCTCCCCATGTCTGTTTTAATTGTCCAATTGCCACAGTGCTTGTCAAAGCCAGTTCTCATTAATCTCCTTTGTCAGTGTGTCCCTTGCCATTCCCTATCACT